CCATGACAGCTAGCTTGTGGGGTACCTTGCTTTGATTTGGTCTTACCACTTGCTAGTTGGCAATATGCATTCACCATCCTTTTCTGAGGACACTCCGCCACCCTATGTGGCCCTTCACATAAAAAGCACTTTAATTTACGACTGGCATCAAATCTGCCCTCCTTTGCTTTTCCTTGGTTCCAGTTGTTATTGTTGCTGCCATTATAGTTTCCTTGACGGCTGTTTTGATAGTTTCCCTGCAAGTTACTCTGGCGATTGCCTTGTTGGGCTCCTCCCCTATTCTGAGAGTAACGTTCTCCCCCATTTGAGTTTGAGTTGGGTCTGTAAGGTCTCTTTCCACCTTCAATAAATTGACTATTCCCCGAATGTCAATCCTCTCTCGATTTCGGTTGATAGTCACTTAAACATTCGGCAGCTCCCATAACCGCACTTAAATCAGTGACCTTCTGTCTTTGAAGTTCCGTGCTTATCCACGGTTCCAACCTTTCCATGAAAGTGGATAGCTTGTCCTTTTCCGATATATCTCAAATATTTAGCATATGTCCTAAAAAGGCTTTCACGTACTTCCTGATGGAGCTTGTGTGTTTCAGTTCTTGTAAGGCCTGACGTGACTCATATTCCACATTTTTTGGGAAAAACTGAGATCTGAGTGCTTCTTTGAGAATATCCCAAGAATCTATTTGGACCTTGTTGACCTGAATATTAGCATACTTCGTCTGCCACCATAGTTTTACATCTCCACCTAGATACATGGTAGCTGTTGTAACATTTCTCGCTTCGTCTTTGATCGAAGCCATAAGAAAGTATTGTTCCATATCGAACAAGAAGTTCTCAACTTCTTTAGTATCGCGTGCCCTTCCGTAGGTACACGGTTCTGGAGTTTTGAGCCTATGCACAGGCTCTTGTGCGGTGGCTTGCCAATTGCCAAAATCCCGTTGAAGAACTAGTAATTATGCTCTCAACGCTTATATATCATCCTGCAAATCCAGGATGATAGCAATAGCTTCAGTCATTGATGTGCAAGCTATTCGGCTTTCACCCAGTTTGGTGTTTAATTCGCAAATCTCCACCTCTGCCGCCTTGACTCTTTCATCGAGACTCTCCGCGACATAGCACAACCTAGTTGTTGTCATCTCAAGCGCATCCACGCGCTGTTTCGTATTCCTCTTTTGAGGATCTACCACCTCCGTGGTGTTCGATTCCATTGGATCCATAGCTTTCTTATCAAGGATCTTGAGCCCCAACTCTGATACCAACTTTCACGGGGTGCCTTTCTTCCTAACACAGAAAGGGACACCGTGCGACAGTAGTCTGCTCCGTTCGACTACCTTCCTCCTTTTCTCAGTTGTTTCGGGACGAAAGACAATTTGACTACAATTTGTAGAAAGCTTGTAACATAAAATTGAAATGCATTGAAACTAAATTGATCATTGATTGCTTGAAAACTAGAATTACAATAGATGAAAGCAGAAAATTAAAATGGCTAGTGCAGGGGACAAACACTAGAAAACTTGAAAGATTGTTTGAAAGACTAATACTCCCTATAATAGATTTAACAACAAAAACCTAACTGATGGGAGTAGACGTTTAAATGCTGAAAAATCATACTAAACTTTGTTAATTTCTATCTATTTTACAATTCAAATAAACTATTATAATGTGCGGTCAAAGTTGAGCAAATTGCGACTGGGATTGGGTCACGGGGCTTAAGTAAAGTTGCGGTCCGTGACACAATGTGTGTGTTTTTTATTTTTTATTTATTTTATTTCATTATTTAATGTGATAAATAGAAAGTTACTCTTTTTTCCTTTTTTAAAATATTAAAAATGTGGTCAATATTAAATTTTTGGTCAACTAATAGAATTATGGATGAAACAAATCAAAAATTTGAAGAAAGTTTGCTAATGTTTCAAAGGTTTGGGCTTTCGCAGCTATTACCCCCTTTTTTATAGGTAAAAAGTAGGCTTCAAAATCAAAGAAAAACTGAACTATCGCACAAACTAATCAATCAGGAAAAAAGTGATAGTTAAGTGAATGAAAGCTGACACGTTAAGCTCAATTAAAGGCTTATTTCCTCGTTCACTCAAGTAATTATATAGGGAAAAAAAACAAATTCTCTTCTCAAATCTTCTATGGGTTTTGTTTTGAAATTTGTTGTTTCATTTCTCTGCCTCGCTTCATCAGTTTTATGCCAAGTTTCAGGTATGTTATTCTTTAGATCCGAATTGTACACAGTACTTGGTAGGAATAGATAGTATAGTTTCTTCATCTATTATACTGTCGAGTACTATCTAATCTCAGGGATTAGAGTTTAACGAAAGACGGATAACTTCGTCACTTCTATGATTGATAGCATAGATTTTGTAGATTAAGGTAATTTGATTTTGCAGAGTTCATCAGTATAGACTGTGGAGGCACAGGTAATTACACTGATCAGACTACAGGCTTGGCATGGATTTCAGACACTGGAATCATAAGCCAAGGCAAATCAGTGAAAGTCGAAAATACGAATGGTAACTCACCGCAGTATCAGACGCGAAGAGACTTTCCGATAGATAGCAAGAAGTACTGTTACACTCTAAAAACTGAAGAACGAAGGCGATATATTGTCCGAGCAACGTTTCTATATGGAAGTTCTGTAACAGGGGGCGTGTACCCAAAATTTCAGCTTTACCTGGACGCGACGAAGTGGTCAACAGTAACAGTTACAGAAGATTCGAGGGTGTATGTTAAAGAAATGATCATTAGAGCGCCCTCTCAATCTATCGATGTGTGCTTGTGTTGTGCAACGACAGGTTCTCCGTTTATATCCACTCTTGAGGTGCGGCCTTTAAACCTGTCAATGTACGCGACTGATTATGAAGATGATTTTTACTTAAAAGTAGCACAAAGAGTAAATTTTGGGGCTCCAAGCACAGATCCCATAAGGTAATCTTCAGTACACAGTATTCGACACGGCTAGGCAATATGATGAAAAATATTTTGAGTTGTCAACATAGGATAATTTGTTCACCTGTTTTACATTCCGTTATTGCAATGTCATCGAATAAAGATTTCTCTCAGGTACCCCGATGATCCTTATGATCGTATATGGGATTCTGATCTCGATCGAAGGCCTAATTATCTGGTCGGGGTGGCGCCTGGAACGGAGAGAATCAACACAACAAAAAACATAAATGTAAACACGAGAGAATATCCGCCTGTTAAAGTGATGCAAACTGCAGTTGTTGGCACTAAAGGAAGTCTCAGTTACAGGTTAAATCTAGAGGATTTTCCAGCTAATGCTCGAGCTTATGCATACTTTGCCGAGATTGAAGATTTGGGAGCAAATGAAACCCGAAAATTTAAAATGGAGCAACCTTACTCGCTTGATTACAGCAATGCTGTAGTTAATATAGCTGAAAATGCAAATGGAAGTTATACATTGTATGAACCGAGCTATATGAATGTAACATTGGAATTTGTGCTATCATTTGCCTTTGTGAAAACACGGGATTCTACTAGAGGACCACTACTGAATGCAATTGAAATTAGCCGATATGTGCAGACTGGTGCCAAGACAGATGAACGAGATGGTAAGCATATGGTGTCCCACAATGGATCTTATCATAAGTAGCTATCCTTAATTCCTCAATTTACTGACGAGTACTACATTTTCATATCGAAGTGAATAATCTCAGTGCCCTACACTCTATGTCTGTAAGTGATTGGACAGAGGAAGGTGGCGATCCTTGTATACCGACAAATTGGGAATGGGTGACTTGTAGCACTACTACACCACCAAGAATTACAAAAATGTGAGTAGCTAAGCCTTGTCAATGAACACTAATGTCATTAACGACATGGATCAGTAATGTAATAAAAAGATAGAATCCACAATAACATCGCCCTAAGTCTTGTTTATTCTAACTCAGAAAGAATGTGGCAAAATCATAATCCTAACTTATTTGAACAGTGTCCTCTCAGGTAAGAACTTGAATGGTGCAATCCCATCAGAGCTCAAGAACATGGAAGAATTGACAGAGTTGTAAGTTTGAGAATAGCAAGAACTGAACGTGATAACTGAATTTTCGGCTCTTTATTCTGTCCACTTGTTTCAATTGTACAGGTGGTTGGATGGAAACTCACTCGATGGTCCAATCCCCGACATGAGTAATCTTGTCAATTTGAAAATACTGTAAGCTCTTCATCCACACGACTTCCATTTAAAGAGTATAAAGAATCCAGTTTTGTGACTAACGGATAAACGTGCAGGCATCTAGAAAACAACAAGCTGACTGGTCCATTACCCTCGTATCTTGCTAGCTTGCCAAACTTACAAGAACTGTATGTGGTGATCTGGCTGAATTTTTTTCTTTTCATGTGCAGCGATGTGCGTGTGTGTGTGTTGAAACATGCATTTGTTTATCAATTTTTGTCAGGTATATACAGAATAACTCTCTGTCTGGGGATATACCTCCATCACTGTTGACAGGAAAGATTATTTTCAAGTAAGTACGCTTATAATTCAAATGATGACTATGTTCTCCTATCCATGAACACATTGACTTCACTTGACAATGTAGACCATACAGAAATATAGCATGTGCGAATAATTAGGTGTAGATATTTCATACTAGATATAATAAATCTACGTTACACGAGTGAAAATTCCTAAATTTGAACTCGATCATTCGTCTTTTCATGGTAAGCTTGAGCACAATAAAGGAAAGTTCTGTCTTTTCTCATGCAGGTATGAAGGTAATTCTCATCTTAGGCAAGGGAACAACCAGAAGACGCGTAACAAAATAGTACTGGGAACTTCGTTTGGAGTGTTAGCCATACTTATTGTTTTATCTATCGCAAGCATACTACTAATACATAATTATAGGAAAAACACAAATTCGAAGAGCGATAGAAAAGGTATGTGAATTTACATTTTGATCCCTATACGTCATATTACAGTTCATACCTGCAAAACAGCACTTCTCTTCTGCACCTCAGGCACTTCTTTGCGAAGCAGCACCAAGCCTTTGACAGGATACTCACTTGCACGAGGTGGAACTTTAATGGAAGAAGGTGTAGCATACTATATTCCCGTAGCAGAGATCCAAGAAGCTACAAATAATTTTTCCAGAAAAATCGGTAAAGGGAGTTTTGGACCGGTTTATTATGGAAGAATGAAGGATGGAAAGGAAGTAGCAGTAAAAATCATGGCCGATTCATCTAGTCATGGGACCAAACAATTTGTTACTGAGGTAGTTAAACATTAAGCCGATAGTAAACAACGTAATGAACTTACTACAAACATTATGAGAAAGTGAGTAAGTAAATTTACTATGCTCTCTAAATAGAAATATGTACTTACAGGTTGCTCTTCTATCAAGAATCCATCACAGAAATTTGGTTCCTCTAATTGGATACTGTGAGGAAGAGCATCAGCGCATGCTTGTCTATGAATATATGCATAATGGGACCTTACGAGATCACATACTAGGTTTGTGCTCGTGCTATCCGTTAATTAGTCCCTTTTTATCATTACATCTTTAGAGAATAATCAGAAAATAACAGAAATAAACTTGCTCACAGATTCTGGCAACCAGAAGAACTTAGACTGGTTAGCACGTCTTCATATTGCCGCAGATGCAGCTAAAGGTTGAATTTGAACTTTTCTCTTCCTGCATTGATATCCTCTTTAATACTCGACTGGATAGGATATTATAATGAACAAGATTTTAGCTTCTTTTTTTTCATTAATACTATCCAATAAGATCTAAAGATTTTATACTTCCGCAGGCTTGGAATACTTGCACACCGGTTGCAACCCTAGCATCATTCACCGAGATGTGAAAACAAGCAACATCCTCCTAGATATCAATATGAGAGCAAAAGTATCGGATTTTGGACTGTCAAGGCAAGCTGAAGAAGACTTGACACATATATCAAGTGCGGCGCGAGGAACAGTAGGCTACCTCGACCCAGAGTAAGCCATATTTATCATACCTTATATGTATGCAAGTGCGCCGATTCTTGAAACTAATTCTCATCCTATCCAAACTAGGTACTACGCGAATCAACAATTGACAGAAAAGAGTGATGTTTATAGTTTTGGAGTTGTTCTTTTGGAACTAATCTCCGGAAGAAAGCCTGTCTCAATGGAGGAATATGGCTCTGATTGGAGCATTGTTCACTGGGTATGATTTTGAACGTGACAATTATATTTTCTAATATAAGATGATAATATCTTCATAAGTTTGGTTGACATGAATGATAAGATTAAGCTCTCTCACTCTCAAGCCTCAAATCAAACCAATAAATCCGATTGTTTGGTATTCTTTTGTAGGCAAGGTCATTGATTCGTAAAGGAGATGTGATTAGCATTATCGACCCTAGACTAGCCGGGAGGGTTAAAATTGAATCCATATGGAGAATAGCAGAGGTCGCTATACAATGCGTTGAACAACACGGCTCCTCTAGGCCAAGGATGCAGGAAATTATATTGGCAATACAGGATGCAATCAAGATTGAGAAAGGGACCAATAAATTAAGTTCATCGGGGAGTTCAAAAGCACAATCTTCGAGGAAAACACTTTTAACGAGCTTCCTTGACATCGAAAGCCCCGACCTTTCTAATGGCTCCTTAGTTCCATCTGCTAGGTAAAAATGTAACTTTTTTATGATTTGTGTTGATATTCTCCAACAAATATGCATAAGCCATAGGCGTAGACTCAGATGATGTTAGCTTCTAATTTCTGAAGGGTGAATAAAATTCTTGTGGTAAAAGTATTTCTATATATTGTGAGCGTTTATCTTTTAAGCATAAAGATGTGCTAATGAAATGTGTATTTCATCTAGAGTTAGTGAAATAAAATTTTCCACCGAGTTCTACTAGTATTCTACCATTACCCCCATGGTTTATTCAGTTTAGTGGAGGATAAATTATGACTCATTGTAACATTAGTCAACAAATGTAACAAGATCAAACCACCAAGGAAAAAACAAGAAAGTGAAGAGTTGATCAACTGATCCCATGATTAATACTTACGAGTAATGGAGTAGTGCTATTTATCACCATCGGTGTTCATCATGATCTATGTCACTACCACATTGTTCCATGAAGTTGTGATGTGTTTTTATACATTAGACAACGCAGTAGTGGTCCCACTATTACGTAAGATTCCATGGCTACTGGCTAGGCTTAATTCGATGACAGTATACTAAGAGCGCTCCACAGATAGCGTATCTTTTAAATCAATTTATAAGAGAAGGTGGTCCGAACATATAAATAGACAATGCAGGCGCTCCACGAGTGATGTGAAATTCATAGGCAGTCATTACAATCCACCTTTCTTCATAAATGATGATGATAGTGTTAGTTTTTTCGGTTGGCTACTTTTAAATAACCCAATCCTTCAATGATCATGCTTCCACAACGAGGGTCTCAAAGAAAGTTGACTAGTATGAGTGTCACGAGTATCTTGGGAAGAACTCGCTCATAAAACCAATTTATAAAGAGAGGACGTTTAAAGTTCTTGTGAAGCCACACGGTACCTTTTTTATCAAGAAAGTGAAACTCAAATCAAGTTATTACGTAAGATCTTGAAAGTTGAAAAGTAGAAGTCGGATGCATTAGAAAAGCCATTTAAGCCTATGTTTGGCTTGTGTATATAAAACATTCAATTAACATTTTATTCACACATTTCGAGAGAGTCATAAGTACGACCAACTTATGCAATATTCATTTTTATCTATTTATAATTTAAACAATTTTACACTTCCTAAACATACTCTTTGTCTAGATTTCTAATTATGAACTCAACCAAAAACAGCATAAATATACATCATAGGTTAAAAACCATTTATTTGCAATTTATGAAGAAGAGGGTTGTGAAAGGATAAAGGAGAGATGAAATTGACTTGATCTGAAGAAGAGGGCAAGTGATCCTTCATTTATTCTGCTTATTAATTTATTGCAATGTTATTTGCTAGTAGTCTAAAATCTATTAAAGATTTTTGTGTGGATAATTTTTTAACACTGAAGTGCTGTGACTCAAGGATACACTATCCCAAAAATGATAACTTCGTAAGGAATACAAATTATGTTCGAAATTAACCTTTTAATTTCGTTGGTGTTTCAACCATTTAGCCATGAATGCAAAGAGACTTGATGTAGGATCAATTCAAATCATTCAAAGATATAGAATAGAAGAAGAGAGGCAGAAGGAATGAAATAGCAAAAAGAACCATAGCAAGAAGGAGAAGAAGAATATCCTAGAAGAGTAGAAGAAGAAGAAAGGGAGGAGACAAGGAAGAGGAAGGCGTTGGCAACAAGCCATGAATCAACTTTCATTCATCGTCTGTCTGTACAAGCAAGATTACGAGCCATATATAGAAAGAAAAAGGGAAAATTACCTTGAAACCTACAATTAAAAACTAATTATCATAAATCAAGTGGATTAGTTTAAACTTCATATATCATGTGATAATTAGATTTTAAAAATTATAATTAATAAAAATTTAATTAAACATAATCTATTCCACCCCTACCCATCCCAATCAATTTCATTTTCAAACTTTCTCACTCTCCTCCTTCTCTCTTCCTTCTCTCTCACTCTCACTCTCCCTCCTCCTCCTCCTCGCAGCAGTGGCGTGATTTTCTGGACCAATTTCAAATCATTGGGCTGTAAATTGGAGTTGACCCATTGCTGGGCTAAGTGTGCCATGTGGTGGGGAAGATGACCCAGGTAGTCGACGATCGTGGGTCGATCGGACTGCACCGAAATCAGCACGCGACTGCGATAATTTTTGTGGCGAACTCAGATTTATGGAAGGCTATTTGGGATAAATTATGGCATGGTTGGGGTCGTCTGGTTGCGGGCAGTCGGCCGGAAGAGGACCGCAATCGTGGTGGTGGTCGGGAATGTGTGATTTTTCTGTTGGCCAGTAGTGTTTAGTGTTGGTTGGATTCGGCTGAGGTTAGGCATGGTGGTGTGTGGTGCTATGTCTGGTGGTTGGGTGCAGTGGTGTTTTGGATATGGTTTTTTGGGTGCAGTGACGATGTTTGAATTTGGTGGCACCGGATGAGATTTCGACCAAATATGTGACGGTTTGTGACCGGTTGTGGATTGTGACCAATTGTGACTATTTGTGACTAATTGTGACTGGTTAATTGTGACTCATTGTGACCGATTGTGACTTGTAATTCTGAAATTTTTTTGGAAATTGGGAGTGGATGGATGGGTGGGTAAGTTGATCGGAACATGCGTTGGAGTGTTATTGGAGCAGTCGGAATTGTAATTGGAGTGGCCGTTGGAACAATCGCCGGAGAGGTGCAGTTGCCGGAGTAGATGACTGCCTCCGGAGAGAAGGGGTAGGGAGATAATAGAGAGTAGAGAGAGAGAATGATTTGAATTTGGATTTGAAATTTAATAAATTGAAATAATTGTATTATATTATAATTAAAAATATTTGATAAATTGATTTAACACCTGATTTTTTAAAAGATTTTTGAAGTTTGTTATTTATGAAAAGTGATCTTTAAAACAATGAATTATGTATTGTTACCAAAGAAAAACAACCATACAGATGAAAAGGGCTTGGACTGGCCCAATAAACCCAACTACTAAACATAAATAGAAGTCCATATAGTGATGACCACATCAAGACTTGTCCGGGATTCACAACTCTAACTCCAAGTTCTCACATGGTTAGAATTGGACTCTTTATCCAAGAGGTTCTAGGTCATTTATACGATTGAGTAGCTAGTGATGACTATGAACTAGAGCAAGGAAGATATTATTAGTGGACCACTCCCTTGAAAAGAAAGGCAAATAAAGTAACAATATCCTTTAGGTTTCCTTAACTTTAGGACAATTGATAACCCATAATACCTTATTTGTCGGGATGTCTAAGGTGGTTGGTCTGGTTTGCCTTTGGGGTGGCTATATTGACGCTACAATTTATTTTAGTCAGACAACTTCTTAATTGCATTAAAATTTTCAACATTTGCTTATTACCTCACTTAGGTTCACACTTTTTTTGTCAATTTCTTATTTGCAATTATTAAAATAGTACATATGGTCTCTAATGATCGTTATTGTGCTTTACAATGAGGGAACAATATTATGTTGAATTTTTTGTATATGTTCGTTTTTGCCAATTTAAAAAAATATGATGGGCAAATAAGTCTTTTTATGCCTAACTAATGGACTTTTTGTAATGAAAGTGCTAATTAATAAAAATTTGACGATAAGAATATGACGAAAAAAGTTGCTGACAAATGATATAATAGCACAGATTAAGGACTTCTAATACAATTAAAAGTGGTGCAATGAAAATAAATTGTCATAGTAATATAATTGCATTTCCTTAGTGCTTCTTAAAATATCGAAATAATGCACATTTTTATGAGACCAACAAAATAATTAAAACAATATTCAAAGCTCAAACACATTCCTGGAGGGCAAAAGCTCTTTTGATTAAAACAATGGATGTTCGGTTAATGTCAAAAAGTGTTTGAGCCCAAATTTTTTTTTTCCCTGTAACTATTTTAGAGAAATCCAAATTTTGAGCGTCTCTAATATATCTCTAATATATCGACCAAAGGCTGTTTCTTCTTCTTTTCCTTTTGTTTGTACATAGGCGGAGTGACAGAATGCTACAAGAAATCTCGGTATTCTAGCCCATAAGTGACAGTCAACAAAGGGTCAGTCTTTTGGATTTCTTATAGAATCACTGTAACCCCGGACGGATCATATAGTCAGTATAACACTTTCTGATGCAGAGGTTCACCAAAAAGGNGATGCTGAGGTTCACCATGAAGGTGCAACTGCAGAGCATACTTATGCTTCTACTCAGATCTTACTCCCTATCATTCAAACATATGACTATCTCATACTTTGCAAAAACCAAGAAAGAACTGAAGAATTTTAGATGGATATCATGATTAAAACACAATGGAATTTATTTCTAAACTTTCGATATCTTACAATGAGGAAGAGCTCCCCTTTTATAGAGGAAGAAGAGCATAAAAAACAAACACGAGACTCATGCGTTTTCGAAAAGATGGACGCGCGGTATTATTTTACACCGCAATACTAACTTTATGACTCAACTTATCTTTCTTTTATAAAGAAAGATACTAGTTACAATATTTATACAAACAGACAAATGACTCAGCAAATAGACAAACAACTTTTACAAAAGGCGAATCTTGCTATAATAAAGTTCATGGTGTGTCCAAATTCATAGAATCTTCTTGTCGTAGAGGCAAACCATGTTGATCCAGCCATGGTTCTTGAGTGCTTGTGGGTTCATGTGGTTTTAACAGTTTCATGAGTTGTGTTGTATCAATTTCATATGGGTCTTGTGAGTCTTGTAGCATGCTATCATCATAGTTGAGCTGGCTTGTTTCTATATCCATTGATTTTTTCCTTTTTTTCTGACTGATTACTTGATTTTGCTTTTGCTTTTTCTTTTCCTTTTTCAGTTTTCAGCGAATTATTATGTTGAGGACCCCAAGTGTCTGCATTTATTTCGTTGACAATTTTTTCAATTTCTTTTTCAATAAATTCTTTTTCTTTATCAATATTGCGATGCAAAGTGTCAAGAAGTTGTCTTGCAATTTTCATTTGTTTTTTCTTAGCTGGCTTCCTTATGGAG